ATATGTGCCCTCGAGTTACTGACCCCATATAAAATCATGCTGCTGTCTGAAGCAGGTCTATGTATGACCCCCACTGCAGTACGACAGTACTATAGGTAAGGTCACGTTAGTCAGGCTGTTGGGTCTTGTAACGACTGAAGCTACCATAGTTTCTTTCATGCATTTCCTGGGGGGGGGGGGGGGGCAAAAATATTTCAAGTTTCGCCCGGCCCCCCGGAGAAAAAGGTCTGAAAGAAACAATAGAGGCTATGATCATCGTTCTAAAGCACCCACGTTTCCCTACCGTCCCACCCCCACCGCCCTGTCCCCACACCTGCCCCCACCGTCCTACCCCCACCGTCCTGTCCCCCCACCGTCCACCACCTTGCCCCCACCGTCCTACCCCCCCCCCGCCCACCGTCCCCCCCACCTGTCCCCTCACGTCCTGTACCCACCGTCCCACCCCCACCGTCCTGTCCCCTCCGTTCTATCCCCCACCGCCCCCCCCCCGTCCCCCCACCTGTCCCCACCGTCCCCACTGAACGAACGACCAGGACCAGACGACCGGGTCACCGTGTCCTAAATTATCCCCTGTCTCAACATCTTTAGGGCCCCACTACAACAGACAGGTTTATGGCCCTTGCCAGCGCTCCTATTTTATTTCCTGACATTTAAGTGACGCAATAGCTTCGTATACAAGAGTATTAACTCCCTTTATGGAGTAATTTCCCTTTTATTTGTGGAGTTTTTAAATATGGGCATCAGGCGACGTATGTATATGCGCGCGCATGCGTACGTGTTGCATAGTTAGAATATTAGGTAGGGTATAGTAATGTTAGACTTTATCAAAACTTTCCTTTAAAGATTTAATCATCAATCAACGTTCAGGGTGATTGTCATGCTTTACTTTAGTCAAAGTCATAAACAGTGACCTAGGTATACATGTCTGCGAAATGATTGTAGGAAAAAAAGTCACAGGAAAAAAAGTCACAGGAAAAAAAGTCACAAATATATATTTGCATGATATTTGTTAATACTTTTATGTATTAAATATTTAGAGAGTGCAAATTAACTTAGGATTAATTAAATGTAATGTAATGTGTCTAGGCTGTATACGCATAGTAATTGTTATAATTCATCTAAAAATATTTATTATGAAGTATGTAGTTTGTAATTATTTTAAACTTAATATTAGTAGCATTTAATAGAATGCTCTAAAATCCACGTTTTTCATCGTGTTTTTTTTTTAAAATACCAAATTTAAATAATAAATTACCGTGAAATGGTAAGTTCATCTGACTTGCTGCCCTCAACCACCTTTACTGCCCAGATTTATCACGCTCATTACATAACAAAACTTATGATCAAAACAGAAAGCCGACAAGGTTCAAAGGCTGTCATTGACGCATAACGTCAACAATACAAAATATGTTCGGACAATGGCTACTGAGGAGAGGCCGACCAGAGAATAGCCTTCGGCAAAATTTGCCTAAATTTCTTTTATAATTAACTTTTCTACCGCGTATTTAACTAAATACGTAACAAAAGTTGTTGTGTTAATTATCTTAGAGTATTTTTACTTACAATTGTTATAAATCATAATGCTTTAAACGTCTATAAATAATTTATGCTATCAAAAAATACAACCCACAACAACAAACATACAAAATTTTACAATTCTTAACAAATTAATAAAAATATTTCTAAAAAGATTTTTGTGACTTTTTTTCTGTGACTTTATTTCTGTGACTTTTTTCCGATAAAATTCTTCTACTGTGACTTTTTTCTGTGACTTTTTTTCCTAGCAAAAAACTGTGACTTTTTTTCTGTGTTTTTTTCCTGTGACTTTTTTTTCCGTTCACCTGCGAAATAGGGGACCAGTCTATGCTAAGATACTAGGCAACAGACAGCAATTTGGCACTAAAAATGACACTGACACCAGTTATGCCAAAGTTGTCTCTATAAAGACAGAGATCCTTTCACAAATATATCAAACATTTTTACTCTCTCGTATACGAAGTATAGAGGAAGTATTGCAATCGTGCAAAAAATCGAAATCGAGGTTTTCGAGATTTTCACAAATCTCGACGTTTTACGCCTCCCTGAGTAGGAAAGTGGATCTTATTCTACTTTCAATTTTTTAAAAGCCTATAACTTGAGTGCTGTTTCTGATAGATAGATAGATGAAATTTCACATATAAGTAAAAGATCTAATTATCTGTCTTCCATCAAATTTTGAGTAATTTCCGGTGACGCCATTTCCGATTTCTCAACAACAAAACGCATATAAATTTATAAAGTACTAATATTCCGCACATATTGTTTGCCGTTCACTTGGTGCGCAATCCTTTTTTATACATTCTAGTTTAAAAAGTTTAAGTATGTAAACATTGATTAAAAATCATGTCTATGTCCCGCGTTCCAATCCCACGTAGTGTTAAATAAGTATATTCGAGAAACTTTAGGGAGATCACTCCCGCTTTATTGTCTTATCGATTTGGGCTATCCTGTTATCGTTGTTATTTGCTAAGGTTGATTGATTATTGTTTATTAATATTGATCTTCCGGGTTGGCTTGTTCATATTGATCATCAGATGTGGCTTGTTAATATTGATTGGTTATTTGTTGCCAAATATTGATTGTCGTACGTATTTAGAAATAACGAGCGATGCTACTGAATATTTAAAAAATTCATTAACGTAGGTAAAAAATCACCATCCATTTTCCTTTCCTCAATCTGCTGTCATGGTAGAGCAGAGGCAGCAGAGTTGACGTATTTCGATATTGATGACAATTGAAATGAAGTAGTCAGCAGTTGAATTTATTTAAATTATCCGGTTGAAAACCAATAAATGATGTTAAATCGAGGTTACGACAAAATGTTGATGTTGTGTTATGAGGTTATAGACAGAATGTTGATGTTGTGTTGTTATAGACAGAATGTTGATGTTGTGTTGTAAGGTTGTAGACAAAATGTTTTTATGTGAGGTTATAGACAGAATGTTGATGTTGTGTTGTGAGGTTATAGACAGAATGTTGATAGTGTGTTCTGAGGTTATAGACAGAATGTTGATGTTGTGTGGTGGGCTTAAAGACAAAGATTCGTGACTTGGACTGGAGTAAGAACAACATGATGTGGACTGGTTTAACTTGTTAGGTGAACCTGTTAGATACAGGTGATAAAGGTCGTTGGTCATCTGACCAGCTGGTAGCCACAAGTGTGGGACTCCAGTTGGTCGGTGACTCCAGGTGGGCAGTGACTCCAGGTGGGCAGTGACTCCATGTAGTTAGATAAATGACTCCAGGTTTAAAGCCATTAAAGCACGTAGGATCAGCTGTCACTGGTGGTAAACTTTGACCTCTAAATTGTCCAGTAGCACCCGAGATTGTCCACTCAAATGTCCACTTCGTATGTCGTTTTCAAATGTCCATTAATGTCTAATGTATGTAAAACCCGAGAGAGCCACGAAGGAATGCCACGTACAACACATACATATGGATAACCCCTCTTCCCACACACACAATTAAGCTTTTGTGTGTTACATAAAGCCAGGTACCGATTAGAGCTGAATTGACTCCTCAGTCTTGTACTAATCAATCATTTATCATCAGAATCAGTAGATGTTTCGGTTACATAGTCGCCTGGGTTAAACCTTCCGTCACATGGTCTCTTAGTAAAACCTTTATTTACCTCTGCTGCTGTTTAGGGCTCATCTATAAATGACGTCACGCTTTTTTTTCACGCTTTTTACCCCCCCCCTCACCTCCGTCACACATCGTCACAAAAAGCCAGACCCCCCCCCCCTAAAATGACATCACACCTCAGCCTACAACCCCCCTCAAAATTGCAGTTGAATTTTTTTTAAACATCAATATTTTCCAAAATCTTGTCTGAACTCTGTCAAAATAGAGTATTTTAAATCAATTTCTATTACAATTTATTAGAACAGTTTTCTTAACACGAAATATAGTCTAAAATTAGTTTTCTAACATTGCTTTTTTAAAATGCAAAAGTGTGACGTCGCACCATCTGACCCCCCCCCCCCCTCATCACACATCGTCACAAAATTAAGGACCCCCTCCCCCCCCCTCTACGAGTGTGACGTCATTTATGGACGACCCCTTAACGTTTAGACCAGTTGAATTATATCTAATCAAACACATTTTGTTATGGGAAAGTACACATGCCAACCGCCACAACGTTCTCGTCCTCCCCCCCCCCCTCCCCCTTCATTTGTACGTCACTGTGAATGGGTCATACCTCCTCACATCTAAACCCTACTTAGGCCGTTTTATTTCTTAATAAATTAAATTTTTAAAAAAAACTATTTTAAAAAGACAGCAAGAAAGATGTAGATCTAGGGCCGACTCACAATTTGAAAGCAAATAATACGAACGCGGGTGGAAATTCCATTTTTAAATATGTTTCTGGAATTTCCCAAAATGAAATCGATTTTTTTCCCGCGTGTGGATGGTTTTTTCTACAACGACCCTGGCCTTCTTTGTCTGAAGACGAAAGGACAAAGTAATCAGGTCAAAGATTAAGAGTACTGTCTTCGCCAAATTGATTTCATCTCACTTACTTATAATAACATGAATTAAAATAATATTTCCCTTATATACTGCTGTTTATTCAGATCGCAAATGATTTGTTATATTACTTTATATTCAAATCACAAAGGATATTTCTGATTTCTGATATTTCTGCCAATTCTAAAAACTAAAGATCTTTGTTATATTCTTTCTGCCAATTCTAAAAAGTAAAGATCTTTGTTATATTTCTCCCAATTCTAAAAAGTAAAGATCTTTGTTTATATTTCTGCCGATTTCAAAAATCTAAAGATCTTTGCTATATTTCTGCCAATTCTAAAAACCAAAAAATCTTTGTTATATTTCTGCCAATTCTAAAAACTAAAGACCTTTGTTATATTTCTGCCAATTGAACTGTTGAATTATCACTATTATTAAAGTTGTTTTTTCCTTCCCTTCCCTTCCTCCCCTCCCCCTCTTTTTACAGCGGTGATGACGCAACGGAAATGACGGCGATGACCACAGCGTCACCCGAGGCAGACTGGGAGAGGGTCGATGACGTCACCCCGCCCACCACCACCACCAATCGCGAGCGAGGAAAAGCTTGGTTCAAAAAACTCAAGTCTCCAAAGGGGTTATGTAAGTGTGACAGTGACGTCAGCAGGTAGACTGGGGGTTGGGGTGTGGTTAAGTGGTTGGGGTTTATTGTACGGTGGTTGAGGTGGTTTATTTAGAAGTGGTTGGGTTTTTTTGGTACAGTGGTTGGGGTTTTTGGTCTTAGTGGTTGGGGTTTATTGTGAAATGGTTGGGTTTTTTGGTATAATGATTGGGGTTTTGGGTACAGAGATTGGAGTTTTTGGTATATTGTTTGGGGTTTATGGTACAGGGTTGGGGTTTTTGGCACGGTGGTTGGGGTTTTTGGTACAGTGGCTGAGGTTTTTGGTAAAGTGGTTGGGCTTTATTGTGAAGTGATTGGGGTTTGTGTAGGCGTAGATTGGTTATGTTTATGTGCAGTGAGGAAAGGGGGGGGGGGGGGGGGGTAGGAGATCCTCAAGCACCAAAACTAGCCTGCGTCGCTTAAGGCAGTGGAGACTACCCAAACGATAATTTTTTCAATGTTGGGAACCTTTTTATCTCCATTATGTCCTCACTTCGTCTAACCTTGCATCCGACATGTCTGTCACAACATAAACATACTCTGCATGTAAAGAAAAAACTATTTTTTTTCTATATAAATACCAAGTCATGATTTTAAATTCAAACGATCTAAAAAAAAATTTTAAGTATTTATACAAATGATAAATAGGGTTGCCAGATACCTTTTCCGAAAATACTGGACACCTTTCCATCCTTCCCTTCTCAGGTGTGCCGCAAAGCAGAAGAAGGGGGGTAACAGAGTATTATTCATATACTTATCCAGTATTTATATTTATTTTATCCTGGACAGTCTGCTCAAATACTGGACACCTGGCAACCCTAATGATAAACTTATAGATGAAACATTTGGTTTCTACTTTCAGGTTTTTTGAGTGTCGCCTCAGCTGTTTTGTTGATCGTTGCCGCCTACCTGTTGTCTAAAGTTGTTTTTGGTGAGTAAAAATTATGCATGAGCATGCACATGCCACTGGATGGTGTGCAGATGCATTATGTTATCATGATCATCAGACATGTGTTATTAGCTGCTGTTATTTAACTGGGAGACTCACACAATTAAATCTGTTTCTTGATAGAAAGTAACCTACACAGTTCAACTAGTGATTGATTTAATATATTCACTCAATTATAATTATTTGTTAATGATGTATGTAATCTTTCTGTACTATAGTATAGATGGTCTGGGTGCCCTTTATTGTTAGCTATATCTTCTACAATCATTTCATCATTTATCAATCATAATAAAACATTGTTGTCACACTTTTACTTTTAACCAGTGGCGTAGCGAGGTCGGGTGTCACCCGGTGCGGCTCTTAATGGTGTCACCCCCCCCCCAGGGGCGTAGCGACTCTTCCCGGGGACAAACTTTCAATTTTCGATTTGCACCCCCCCCCCTCGAACTTTCGATTTGCACCCCCCCACCCCCCTTCAAATTTTTCTCTATATATTTTACTATTTTTTGCCTTGGTGTCACCCCCCTAAGTGGTGTCACCCGGTGCGGTCCGCACCCCGCCCCCCCCCCCCCCCCCGCCCCCCCGCTCGCTACGCCTCTGCTTTTAACTTAATATTAACATTGTTCTGAAACTCAACTTCATCTACTCTATTAAACAACAGGTCTGAAAATGGACCCTTCTTAATATGTTATGGATAAAATATACATAATGTAAACTTAATGAAATTAATTGCTAATTATTTATTTTCCTCTGATCAGGCATACTTTACATAGAGAGCTGTGATGCGGATCATTTTATTCCCATTTACCTGGTGATCAGTGGAGCGTTACCTCTGATTGTCATAGCACTAATTATCCTGCTCATTTATTTGAAGTACAAGCAGGACAACTCTGACGAGGGCGTCTCGTCTGTTCACCTGACTGCCTTCGTTTATTTCTTCATCCACCTCGTCCTTCAACTGGCAGGTACAGCTTTTTTATACAACTTTTTTATACAACTTTTTTATACAACTTTTTTATACAACTTTTTTATACAACAACTTTTTTATACAACTTTTTTATACAACTTTTTTATATAACTTTTTTATACAACTTTTTTATACAACAACTTTTTTATACAACAACTTTTTATACAACAACTTTTTTATACAACTTTTTTATACAACAACTTTTAAGTACAACAACTTTTTTATACAACAACTTTTTTATACAACAACTTTTTTATACAACTTTTTTATACAACAACTTTTTTATGCAACAACTTTTTTATACAACTTTTTTATACAACAAATTTTTAATGCAACTTTAGTACAACAACTTTTTAATGCAACATTAGTACAACAACTTTTTAATGCAACATTCAATACAACAATTTTTAAGTACAACAACTTTTTAATGTAACATTAGTACAACAACTTTTTAATGCAACATTCAATGCAACAATTTTTAAGTACAACAACTTTTTAATGCAATATTCAATACAGCAACTTTTGATGCAACTTTTAATACAACATTTAATACAACAACATTTAATACAATAACTTTTAAGTAAAACAACTATTAATGCATTTTAAAAATACTTTTTAATCATATTTTTAAAAAAATATTTTTTTTAAATAAAATTAATCAATATTTTCAATGCAACTTTTAAATAACACACTTCTGTATGGAACAAATTAAAAAAAAACAACACATTTAAAATTACAGTTTTTAAAAAAATGAATACAACATTATGTTTTTTTAAATTTAAAAAAAAAAATTTCCAGTAACAAATTTAATACTTCTTTTAAAGTGTATTATATTTCATTTTTAAAATAGTACAAATAAATTTAAATACAACTTTTTAAAATATTAATTTAAAACCATGAGTCTGGCACAAGTTTAAAATATTCAACCATTCCACTGAACTTCCAGGTAGCGTGTGTGTGATCCGCACAAGAAACCACCTGAACAGCAAGGGTTCCGTGGACTGTGACGAGACCCTGGTCACATTCTCCTTTGGGGTGGTCATCTTTGAGCTGGTCATCTCCTGCTTGATGTTCATCATAGCCGTGCTCTCCATCTGCGAGCTCGTCTACCTCGAGTGTTGCCAGACCCAGGACCCCAACCGGGACAGGACAACTAGCAATGTCCTCTCAGTGCTTTGATAGTCCTGTGATGTCCTGTAAGGACTTTGATAGTCCAGCAATGTCCTCTCAGTACTTTGATAGTCCAGTGATGTTCTCTCAGTACTTTGATAGTCCAGCAATGTCCTCTCAGTACTTTGATAGTCCAGTGATGTTCTCTCAGTATTTTGATAGTCCAGCAATGTCCTGTCAGTACTTTGATAGTCCTGTGATGTCCTGTCAGTACCTTGACTCTCAGTACTTTGATAGTACTGGTATTGTAACTACAAGGTCCTCTCAGTACTTTGATAGTCCAGCAACATTGTCTCAGTACTATGATAGTCCATTGATGTTGTGTCAGGACTTTCATAATCCAATGATGTCCTCTCAGTACTATGATAGTCCAGTGATGTACTGTGAAAGTAACTACAATCTTCTCTCAATACTTTGATAGTCCAGCAACATTGTCTCAGTACTTTGATAGTACATGAACTGTTAGTTAAGGACTTTGATAGCAATGTTATATCAGGACCATAACAGTACTTACTTACACTGTCGTGGCAGTACTTTGATAGTTGTGCTAGTACCACGATAATGACAGTACCCGCTATCTTCTGACAGAACTTTGATAACGAAAGTACCAACAAAGTACTCTGATAATACAAAGTACTTGTAAAAAAACTTGTATTTACATAGAACCAAGAAACATAAAACCAGCATTTTGTATCAGACCAGTACCACGTCAGGGGAGCTAACTATATTTTATAAAGGGAAGCAATTCAGTTATTACTGAGCGTGTTAGTTTCCATTAGGATCACATCTCACCGTGTTGAAGTTGGTTGTTTCTGCTTCCTGCATTATGTGAAACATTTCACTTAAAAAGTTTTTTTAGCAACTTGTTGATTAAAGCATGGGCTGTAATAAAAAAGTAATGAAACTTTTAGTAACACTAGTTCCCTTGTACTCTCCTTTTATTTTTGTTTTAGAATCTAGTTTTAAATCAAAATTTTTGTTTTATTATCTGCTGAACGTATTAGCTAGATCTAATTTGAATTATATTCTTTAGGAATGTATATTCTGTGACGTTTAGATTTTAGATGATGCAGAAATCTATTATTTGTGATGATCTATTTTCTCTGATTATTGAATAAAACTAAGATGTGTCACAAAAAAAAAATTTAGGAATGTGTAATTAGCAAATTTAATCTAATTACTAAATCAAAATTACACTAGCTAAATGTGGTATTTTCAGAATAATTTTAAAATCTGCATAAAGAGTTATGAACATTTTAAGTATTGGATGTTTACCAATGTGAAAAAAATCATAATTTGTTTTTTAACATGTCATTCATTTCATTCTCAGCTGACATTTTACATAACATTTCACCTGACATGGCATTTCTGTTACATAAATTGATGCTGCATAAATTGTTATCATATAAATTAATGTCATATAAACTGATGTCACATTTGTATGTATATTTTGTTGGCACGTCACATGGACCTAAATTTTCTGGTGTATAAGATGACTGTTTAATCCAAGAAAATCTGAAAAATTGGGCTTAAGTTATACGCTGGGTATTGTCTGTTAGGGCTAGTAGACCCCAAACTCTATATTTTAACTGGAAAGGTTGGGTGTTGTCTTATACACATGGTTCTCTTATTCATACAGTTGTCTTATACATATTGTTGTCAAGATTTCTTGAAAATGTTGATCTAATGTTGACACACTTTGATAATGTCACTCTCCGTAAACAAAAGACAAACTTAGTAGAGTTGTGTAGTATCACCATGAGGACCAGTAGCCTGTAGATGCAAACACAAGCTACAGGAGACGAGGGTTTCCATTTTGTATGGCAGACCTTGCTGCATTATAATCTTGTCAGCCAAGGTTTCTAGCCTGGATTTTTAGAATGGGTGAGAGGTAAGGTGAGCCACAGAATCAAATGTTCTATAGTTAATGCAAGTATTATTTAAAGTTACAGCACATGCAGGCATACACTACACACCATGGTAGTGCCCTAAACTTCACACCTCACTGTACACACCTACCTGCACACACCTCAGTATACACACTTCACCGTACACACAACACACGTCACCGTACACATCATTATACACACACCATATACACATCACCACACACACACACCATACACACATCACCACACACACACCATATACACATCACCACACACACACCATACACACACACCATACACACATCACCACACACACATCACCACACACACATCATACACACATCACCACACACACATCAACACACACATCACCACACACATCACCACACACATCACCACACACATCACCACACACATCACCACACACACATCATACACACATCACCACACACACATCAACACACACATCACCACACACATCACCACACACATCACCACACACATCATACACACATCAACACACACACATCACCACACACGCATCACCACACACACCATACACACATCACCACACACACATCACTATACACACACCATACACACATCACCACACACATCACCACACACATCATACACACATCACCACACACACACACACATCATACACATATCACCACACACACATCAACACACACACATCACTATACACACACCATACACACATCACCACACACATCACCACACACATCACCACACACATCACCACACACATCACCACACACACCATACACACCATACACACATCACCACACACACATCACCACACACACACCATACACACATCACCACACACATCACCACACACACCATACCCACATCACCACACACACACCATACACACACACCATACACACATCATACACACATCACCACACACACACCATATACACACACACCACACACACATCACCACACACATCACTACACACACCATACATACATCACCACACACACACCATACACACATCACCACACACATCACCACACACATCACCACACACATCACCACACACACCATACACACATCACCACACACACACACCATACACACACACCATACACACACACACCATACACACATCAACACACACATCTTACACACATCACCACATACACATCAACACACACACATTACCACACACACACACCATACACACATCACCACATACACATCACACACACATCACCACACACACACCATACACACATCACCACATACACATCACACACACATCACCACACACACATCAACACACACACACATCATACACACATCACCACATACACATCAACACACACACATTACCACACACACACACCATACACACATCACCACATACACATCAACACACACACATTACCACACACACATCAACACACACCATTCACACATCGATATATACACACACTACACACACACACATCACCACATACACACACCATACACACATCACCACATACACACACCGTACACACACACCGTACACACACACCACCATGTACACAAACACATAATCACCACAGTGGCTGTATTATTAATTTTAAAATTGGAATTTTTTTTTTACAATCCATCAGCTGTAAAGCTATGTTTAATCCATCAGCTGTAAAGCTATGTTTTATTCACTAGCTGTAAAGCTATGTTTAATTCACCAGATGTAAAGTTATATTTAATTCTTAAGCTGTAAAGCTATGTTTTATTCACTAGCTGTAAAGCTATGTTTAATTCACCAGATGTAAAGTTATATTTAATTCTTAAGCTGTAAAGCTATGTTTAATTCATCAGCTGTAAAGCTATGTTTAATTCACCAGTCACCATCCTTCACTGCCAAGTTGTAATTTATATGAGAATAAAAAATTGAACTTTTGGAAATTAATTTCTAATTTATTTTTTATTCGTAGCTGCATAATTTATTTCTCTAAAAAGCTTTTCATTCCCTATTACTTTCAGATTAAATTTTTTAGGTAGAGGAAGTAACTCTGTAAAAACATGGGATAATTTTTAAAAAGGGCTACTTCCCCATAACGCTTTAAAAAATAGTAATATAGCCGATAGCATAATATATTTATAATGAAAGTAATTTGGTACATGTGTCCTACCCCAGATGGCATAGTACCAGAAGACAGTGAGTTATCTCCCGTGTGTAAAACAAAATGTTAGTTTTGAAAAAGGGAGAGAACTTACATTTGATTTGAATGAGGGAATAAAAGCAAAAAAAAAGAAAATACACAAAAGACTCATTTAAATGTAATAGTATTTTTTATGAATTAGATAAATAATATGATACACGTTGCTTATAGAACTGTGTTTGTATTTATTTATTTTTTCTGACTAAACGTCAAAAATAATAAACATTACGCCTAAGTATCTCTCAATATGAATTAGCTTGAACTATTTAAAAAAAAAAATTTAATAAGCGTATACCTAATGAAAAAGTTACTAATTGTAAAATTTTGGATCCCTTGAATAAGGGACATATCCTACATTAAAAATAGATTCTAGTAATCCCTACTTACTATAAAATGTTAAAAAATCGATTTCTATAACAAAATTGAATTCAAATTTTAAAAAAAAGTTCAGTGATGGGTAGTAGGAGTCGCCGCCCCCCCCCCCCCCCCCCCCCCACCCGACCCCCAACGGTCGTGAAATCCTGTGAGCAGTTTTTAAACACACATCGACTACAAATGAATTAATTTATACCTTAATTATAGCTACTTTAAATCTACTTAGTAGATATGTTACGAATTTATTTACCGACTTTTGAGGTTCATTTACTGAACATTTCATTTAAATGTCAAGACTTAGACCGACCGCGCCTATCCAGTCACTAACCAACACAGAACTTTGGCGTCCTATGATACGGGTCAATGTCAAGGTCGTGTGCGGTGGGTTCAAAAAGTGTGAGATCAAATTAGGGTAGAAGTTTGTACACGTTATCTAATCAACGAAACTTCGCTGCACTGGCGAAAAGAAAAACGCGAAGTCTGAAGGAACGCTGGTTATCAGTGTTTCTTTCAGACCCCTTCTCTGGGGAAAGGGGGGGGGGGCACTTGAAATTTTGAATGGGCTGGGGGCGGAATTGAATTTCTGAGAAGGGGAGCTGACACTGGTTCAAGTATAATTATATTTTCTGTATAAATTAATTTTTATCTAATTTCGTTGAGTGAGAGTAATGGGGGGGGGGGGGGGGGGAGGGGGGGGGGGTAGTGACTGAAACAAATCTCTGAACCCCGAACCCCACCCTAACCTTATCAACGATTTCTCTAAATCTGCCATAAGCCTATAATCACCCCCAGAAACTTTCAACGCGATTTTTTAAAGTGTATTTTATTAATAGACGTATTTTTTTATTGTGATTATATAAATAGGTAATTAGGTAGTGTTAGTATTAGCATACGACTCCTGACCTTTGAACCATTTCGAATGTTCATGAATGTATTAATCAACAAACTTTGGTCGTATATTTTTTTGGTCATATCTTACCTTGATTAGTTTGAGGGAAGTTTATCACTGTTTAATCAAGATGATTACCCCTCACAAAAGTGGCTAATCTCGTTGTGTCAAGTTATTGCAAGCGGTATCTATTTATAGCTCGATCAGCTAAAATACTTTGATGGTCTCTCACAGCGGCGTAGTTCGGGTGGTGGGGTTCATTTTAGGGGTTCATATGCCGCCCCGCCCCTACCTCACAGACCCATTCCTACCTCACTCCACGCCACTACATCCCCATCCCACTCCTACCTCACCATCTCACCCTTACCTCACAACCCCACCCCTAACTTATCGTCCCACCCCTACCTCACCATCCTACCCCTACCTCTTTGCACCATCCTACCTCACCATCCCATCAATACCTCACCGCCCCACATCTTCCTCAATGCCTTACCCTCGACCTCAACACCCCACCCTCTACCTCACCGACCCGCCCCTACCTCACCGCCCCACCCCTACCTCACCGCCCCACCCCTACCTCACCGCCCCACCCCTACCTCACCGCCCCACCCCTACCTCACCGCCCCACCCCTACCTCACCATCCCACCCCTACCTCACCATCCCACCCCTTCCTCACCGCCCCACCCCTACCTTAACACCCCGTCCCTACCTCAACACCCCACCCATACCTCACCTTCCCACCCCTACCTCACCGCCCCACCCCTACCTTAACACCCCACCCCTACCTCAACACCCCACCCCTACCTCAACACCCCACCCCTACCTCACTATCCCACCCCTACCTCACCGCCCCACCCCTACCTCACCGCCCCACCCCTACCTCAACACCCCACCCCTACCTCAACACCCCACCCCTACCTCACTATCCCACCCCTACCTCACCGCCCCACCCCTACCTCACCACCCCTACCTCACCACCCCCACCCCTACCTCACCATCCCACCCCATACCTCACCATCCCACCCCTACCTCACCTTCCCACCCCTACCTCACCGCCCCACCCCTACCTTAACACCCCACCCCTACCCTAACACCCCACCCCTACCTCAACACCCCACCCCTACCTCACCATCCCACCCCTACCTCACCGCCCCACCCCTACCTCACCACCCCACCCCCACCTCACCACCCCACCCCTGCTTCAAACGCCACCCCACCACTTGCTTCGAGTCCCAACAATAGCCTATTGTTTCAACATCAAGCACCTGACCAAGCGATTTCAAGTTCAAAAATTCTGCTCAGATAACAACAAGCTTGTATCTCCTGGATGGTATCAGCGCCATCTTGATAAGCACACCCGCCCAAGACGTGTAACTATGTTCAATAAGCTGACGGCTGCAACAATCATAACTGTGTAAACAAACATAAAAGGAAACAGGATTTGCTAGATCTGAGCCTACTCAGCTCTAATAAGTACCTGGCAGGAGTTGGAAAATATGCATCACTTACGACAAGTCTGATTTTTTAGGTGGGCATTGAGATTGTATGGGGTGGGTATAGAGATTGTGTGGGGTGGGTATAGAGATTGTGTGGGGTGGGTATAGAGATTGTGTGTGGGGTGGGTATAGAGATTGTGTGGGGTGGATATAGAGATTGTGTGGGGTGGGTATAGCGATTGTGTGGGGTGGGTATAGAGATTGTGTGGTGTGGGTATAGAGATTGTGTGTGGGGTGGATATAGAGATTGTGTGGGGTGGGTATAGCGATTGTGTGGGGTGGGTATAGAGATTGTGTGGTGTGGGTATAGAGATTGTGTGTGGGGTGGGTATAGAGATTGTGTGGGGTGGGTATAGAGATTGTGTGGGGTGGGTATAGAGATTGTGTGGGTGAGTATAGAGATTGTGTGTGAGGTGGGTATAGAGATTGTGTGGGTGAGTATAGAGATTGTGTGTGGGGTGTGTATGGGGATTGTGTGGGGTGGGTATAGAGATTGTGTGTGTGGGGTGGGTATGGGGATTGTGTGGGGTGGGTATAGAGATTGTGTGTGTGGGGTGGGTATGGGGATTGTGTGGGGTGGGTATAGAGATTGTGTGTGTGGGGTGGGTATGGGGATAGTGTGGGGTGGGTATAGAGATTGTGTGTGTGGGGTGGGTATGGGGATTGTGTGGGGTGGGTATAGAAATTGTGTGGGGTGGGTATAGAGATTGTGTGGGGTGGGTATAGAGATTTGTGTGTGGGGTGGGTATGGGGATTGCGTGAGTGGTGGTGTAAAAACGTGTACCATCCGAAAGCGCAACATTTTAACGGTGTCGCCCATGCACTTTGACCCTCCATCACCCCCCCCCCCTCCCCTCCCCATAACCTGCCCTTAACAGTGGGGAGATTTGACACGGTGGATGAACTGCTCGTTATCTCAAGCAGACATCTCAAGACCTGTTGGCTTGATGGAGCAGGGTGGGGCAATGATGGGGCAGGGTGGGGGTGAGGCAGGGATCCCTAGACTATTATAGGCGTGGTCTGTCACGTGATGGTCATCAACGTAACAGCCCCGTACAGGTAATTGAAAAAAATTAAAACGTGAAATGATTGGAAGAAGAGTATGGCATATTCACTATAGCTTTTGAGATTATAAATTTAATGAACAGCAGTTAATAATAGGAGGTGATGGTGTATGTGTGTCTGTGTGTCTGTGTATAATTGGGGAGGGGAGGGGGAGGGGGGAGATTATAGTATCTACGTAAATTATCTGTTGTGGAAATAGTTAGTTAGGACATTAAAAAAAAATTAAACAAAAAATCGTTTTTAAGCCACCCCTCCTCGTCAGCAATAATCGTCACCACCCCCCCCCTTTTTTCCCCCCAGGAGTGTGGCGTCATTGATGGACAACCACTTTGGTCTCTGCTACTCCAGGCAGATAATGTCCAGAGACCAATCCTGTTATCTAACCCACCGCAACTGATGGAATTGTACTTTGAGAATATTGATTGGAAGCCACCGCCTACCCCCCATCCTTTATTGCTAAGTCATACTTAAAATAATCTCCTTTTCCACGCTCACCACATCTCCCTGCCAATGCCTTTCGTCCTCCGGATATATATATATATATATATATATATATATATATATATATATATATATATATATATATATATATATATATATATATATATGTATATATATATATATATATATATATATATATATATATATATATATATATATTATCTATATATATATATATATATATATATATATAATATATATATATATATATATATATGATGGTATCTTGTTTATGTAATTTATGTAATTAATTCAGTATTTAACATGACTAATGTCAGATCCTATGAAGGTATACCAAGTGTGTGAAAACGTCAAAGTTTATCTGGCCACCCTGGCTTAAGACATATCATGTTCCACATGTGGCATGTGGGTGATTGAAACCTAAAGCCACGAACTGAGTCGATACCGTTAGGCTTAGTG